TAAAGATAAGAACTGGGTGTTTTACGAGTGACAGTAGGAGGGGCTTACCACACAGTACTCTCAAGCTGGTATGCATAATAATGACCTGTGTAGCGTGTTCCACACGTAGATTTCTGGGACTCACTCTCAGAGACTGATATATATTTTCTCAAGTGAAGCATAGGAAACTGCATTTTCACAAGTTCTCCAGGTGATTCTGATTCACGTGGTCAGGAAACTATACTTTGAGAAACGCTTTACATGGTAAACAGGATACCTCACTGACTTGCCACCCTTGGAAACCAAAAGGCATCCTTCTCTTCCTGTCTGTCAATTACAGTGATAAGTTTGGTCTTTGAGGTATCCACAGTTGTCATTATTTGGCCAAGTGACCTCAACCTGAGGTGACTAGGTGTTCCTGAAGACTCATCTTCAGTTTAAAACTAGTAGCCATGCTTCACTAGTCATTAGAGGCTTCCCTGGGAATTCCCATCCAATCTGGCCTGCAAGATCATGGCTTTATGATCAAGAGGCTATAGCAATCCTTAAGACTGTTGTGATTGGGTTTGGACTTGAACTGGAAGGAAGGGCTATTAGACAAGTGAGGGCGCTCTGTCATAAAGGCCTGTCAACCCTTTCTATGATCTAGATAAACGTTCTCCGTGCCATTCCCATATAACCTTAATTTCTGAAAAAGAGATTTCAGCCACATGGATTTTATGATATTCAAGGCATGTAAGTAAAGGCTGGCTTGGGTCTGCTTTGGAGACAGGAGAGGAAAAATAAAAGCAAGTTATGACAAAGTTGAACTTGCTTTTGTAACTTCTTGACAGCACTAACTTCTGGGTTAGAAATGCAGTACGAGTTCAAAGTTCCAAGGTCATAGAGCAGGTAGAAGTCCTCCAAGAAAGTCCCTTTGATAGAATGAGAGTCAATACAGACAGCAGTAAGGGTATTTGTGGGGCTTCACCAGGTGATGCTCCCATATTGTTGACTTTAAAACTTAGAAATAACCCAAAGGGGCAAGGCTGCAGCAAAAGGGCTTAGTGATGCTCCAGGTGAGGCATTTCCTTAAGTGTGTTGTGTGGGACCTAAGTCTGTGAAGGGTCTGTACTCTAATGACTTTGTGAAACTCTATGGTGGAGTCTTACGAGTTTCTTTCCTGAAGGACTGCTATCAGCTTTCATATACTGAATCTTCAAGATGGGGAATGCCACATATACCATTTCCCAAAATTATCTGACCATGGACTCTAGTCATTTTTCAGGGCTTGTTCTCTATAGAATACACTTTCAGAAATATGATAGCAATGATACGACAGTTTTAAAACTATTGGGCGTGTGCCAGACACCCTGTCACTGCTTTATAAATTTCAGCTTATTTTATTCTCACAACTTGCTAAAACAGGCACTAGTTTTATCTCCATTCTGCAGACGAGAAAACTGAGGTTCAGTTTAAGTCATTTAGCTTGTCAGCAAGCGGCCAGGTAAGAATCTGATTTCAAAAAGGGACCGTATCAGTTACCTCACCCCAAACATGGCGTTTTAAGTTCACTCTTCTCTCATACACGTTAGCTGTGCCCTTGTATTTAGCACTCACTGTGTATCGATCACTTTTCACAAGAAGACTTGTTATTCCTGTAAGCAGCACTGTTATTATAATCAATCTGGGTCCTCTTGAATAGAATATAATAACGCAGTGCATTTCTGCAGGATTGTAGAAACGACGTGTGCCAGCCCCAGACTTAGAATCGTTAAGTCACGTGCTGTACCCCATGACCATGCTTTACTGTGTTTGTGAACAGTGGCAAATAAACCACTCAGCACTTGCCCCTTCTACCTTGTTTAGGCTGCAGTTGGAGAGGGATTAATTTATGCTTATTGCACACAGCAAGCTAAAACCCATTTATCACAAGTTTTCATTCCCCAGCAAAACACACGCAAACCTACCTACTAGTGCTGGGCAAATTAAGCCATGCATCTGAGGCTGTGTGGAGCAATGGCAGTCCGGTTTATACTCAGGCACAGATCAGCCAGTAGAAGCCACCCCCGGGACCCAGAGGCCAGTGGTACCCAACTTCTCACCACTGCTGCCTGCTTGCCTGCTTCTTGCCACTAAGCAGTGACTAAGTGATGCAGAGATAAGGGTGGGGCTGGGAGCGGAGAGCACACATGTTAGAACTCAGGATGCAGAAGCTCATTTTCCCAAAGTAATATGCTAATTATTTAACACTGTTAACGCCACCTGTTTATGAATGATGATTTGAGTGGGAGTGGTTTAGAATTGAAAGACCTCAGCTTGTGATGGGAAGAGACAGGAGGGGGAAGGGAAGAGAAGGGAAATAGTGTCCATTTGCGTGTTTGCTTTCTGTGTCACTGAGAGCCTGGCTAGAGCAATTTCCTCCCTTTAGTTTTCCGTTCATTTCAAATGCCAACCCTTTCAAGCAGCCTCGGTATTCTTCCTGGTCGCTCCATAACACTGATATTCTTCTGCGTCTTCTGCAAGAGTGTTTGGCTGGGAATCAGAAGCTCAGCTAATCAAGCTAACCTGCCTCTAACCATCCTTACAGTCTGGAGCTCCTCCCTGAGCCTCCCTTTGTTCCCTGTCACATTAGGGGTTTGCATTAGAAGATTACCTTTAAAATAGCTTTCCAGTATTATTTCCATAAGTATGATGACGGTATTGTGATAATGTCCAGAGAAAGAGAGTGAGAGAGACCTTATCTTTTAGACTTACAGGTGAAATTGTACGATCACTGAGATTTGCTTCAACATAATCCAGTGTTGGGGTTTGTGGGCACTGGACGCGGGTAGAAATAACATTATCTGTGGATTGATGGTTGTTGAAGGGTGGTGGGTGCATGAGGCTCCATTTCTCTATGCACAACTACCACCCATAAATACACACATATGCATATATATGTGTGTATTCATGTCATCCATGTTGAAAAGTGAATGACCTAGGATTCTAATTGGTCCTTTGAAAACTTAATAATATTTTGACTTTGTCACTTGTTAAGTTGCTTCTTGTGCTCTACTTTTGCCCTTCATCCCCACTCTCAGAAATATCTTTTTAAATTTCAGATATCTCCTGCTGAAATGAGCCCAGGATTGAAGTATATAGAAAATTGTGTGTGTGTGTGTGTGTGTGTGTGTGTGTATGTGTGTGTGTGAGAGAGAGAGAGAGAGAAAGAGAGACTTGGTTTAAGTCATAGTTCTTCCATTCACTATTTCTGAGTCCTTTGGAATGACACTAACCAGTGAGGCCCTCACTGTTCGTGTCTGCTCAGTGACGATCACCGCCCCACCTTCCATTGGTGAAAGTCAGTTGCAATAATGTCTATGATAAATGGAAGGTGTTCTTTCCCTCCTGACTTCCTGCCAATAGTGGTATGAGTTCTGAAGCATTTCTGGACTCCTTTGCACTGTGTTTGCCTAAGTAAATGAAAGAGACCTTAATTTTTCGATTTCGAGCTGGAAGCACATTTGCCTTGGGTGTTCCATTCAGTGAACCACTCCTGTCTTGTCACACACTCATACCTCACAGCTTAAGCTCTGCTTGACTCACAGAGGAGAGAGAATCACAGAGGTTGCTGCATTTTAGTGCTTCCTAAAAGCTGATTCTACTATAATAACTAAGCCTGTGTTCTGAGAAAAAGGGCTTAACTTGTGTTTTTCACCCAAACTGGTACATGGGATAGGCTTCCCAGTAGTGGTTACTGCATGGCTAGGAAGTAATTCTTCAACAACCAGACAGAGCAGAAGCAGTCTCGGGTCTTGTCTGAAATCATCAACATTACAGTCACCTATTCTTGAATTTTTTACCTGGGTGACCAGAATGTTGCGCTCTTGGCTTTCAACAGAGAAAAGCCACGGAAAATGGTGCTTAAAGGTCACCTGAATTTCTGGGTATCAGGCTTTGCTTAGATTGATGGAAGGTAAAGGTCCGCATCCAGGCTTCTAAGGGGTACGTGTGGCTTTGCCTTTTATGCTGGAGCTATGCTATGTTCGCAAAATATCACTTTTCTAGAGGGTAAAAATTAATTGCAAACAAAGTCATTAAAGTAGAGCAGCCTTGACCCTGCGATAGAGGAGCAGGGTTTGGAGGCAGAGAGACGTGTTCCCCAGAGGTGCACGCTACAAGCAGAGTTAAGGAGGGAGAATCTTTTATGGCTGCCAAGGCATCTGTTTGGCCCAAGTGGAGAACTCACTGCCTCTGAGAGGCTGCCACCTCCTGGCGCGAGCTGTCAGGACTTGGGCAAGTTATGGAGACGACCCTGGACTGCACATTCCTCCTCCAGCATCAGAGCAGCTGCCCTTGTAAAATGTTCACTTAGCCGTCAGTTTCTAAGTGCAAGAAACGTAAGCAACCAGTCCTTTCTCTCATATGGCAGTTGCCGGGATAGGCGTTAGAGGGGTTGGATAATTCATAAAAATATTCCTGTTGATGTTTTTTTCTGGTTTTCTGCATTGCTTAGTGGGAAAAGCTTTCATTCAGAGTATAGGAAAATTTAATACTTATATTATTATAAATATTGATTTAAAGTAATAATAGCAGTAGCAATAAAAGCTAAGATTTATATAAAGGTCTTACTATGTGCCTAGCACTGTTGCCAGTGCTTTACATACATCAGTTCATTTGATCCTCACAAACACCTAATGAGATATGCACTTTTATTCTCATGTCACCCTATCAGCCACATGAAGGTGAAGTAATTTGCCCAGGAGCTCACAGCCAGCACATGATAGAGCAGGCCTTGAATCCAAGCAGTCTGGCTCCAGAGTCTGTGCTTTAAATTTTCCACTGCGCTTCTTGAACAGGCCTGCTGGAGCCTTCTGGGGGCGGGGACAGGCTCAGATGCATCTGCATGTCAAGCCGTGTGACATGCGTCTTGTGTGTACGTCCCACGTGGTTTTCCGGGACTCACCGTACCTCTGTGTGAACAGTGCAAGCCTGTCGCAGAGTCACGCCCACCCACCTGCCTGCTCGTGACCATGACCATGCCTTGCTTTCTCCCCTAGCCCCGCTGGTGGACCTCACTCCAACCCATAGTGGCTCCGCCATGCTGATGCTGCTGTCCGTGGTGTTTGTGGGGCTGGCGGTGTTCGTCATCTACAAGTTCAAAAGGTGCGTGTCCCTCCGTCCGTGTCTCCCCCCTTCCCCCTTCTCCCATGACAGGTTCAGAAGCATTTGTCGCAGCGATGTCCGTGTCCCGTGCACAGCAGTGATGGTTTCTGTTAATGTTTTAGGAAGATCCCGGGGATTAATGTTTATGCCCAGATGCAGAATGAGAAAGAACAAGAGATGGTCAGTCAAGTCAGTCACCCTGAAAGCAGGCCCTGTATCCCTCAGACTGAGCTCAGGCGGCCTGGCCAGCTGATAGATGAGAAGGTGGAGTCCCAGCTCATAGGTAAATGATTCCTGGCAGCCCTCAGCTGTTCGGCCTGAGTAGTCAATGGCTGGCTCTCTCTCTAACCCCTTCCTGGCTTGACGTAACCACTTTTTCTGCTCTAACATCCCTGAGAGAAACAGCTAAGATGCCTCTTTCCCTGCTTCTTTCCATTAGAGAGAGAAAAAAAAAAAACCCTTTCTTGCTCCTATTGTTTTTTTTTTTCTCTTATGAGTTTATTCCTCTTTTTTTCAAAAACCCTTGCTGAAACATTGGGCTTCAAGTGTTCATGGTCAAAGAGCAAAGTGTTCGTTCTAACAATATACAAGAAGGGCAGGCCTCAGAGGCTGGATCTGCTGGTCTGGAGGGCTGGGCACGGTCTGAGGGTGTATAACGACCAGAGCGAGCTGTGGCAGCCTCACCTGGAGACAGCTCTAAGGAGGGCACACGGCTCCAGAACCTGCATGGAAGAAAGACAGACTGACCACCCTGGGATTGTTTTAAATCTAGCAGTAATCAAAAACTGCCCCCCGGGAAACACGGAACCTGAGAATTCAAGAGCCATGAAGTTGGCAGAACTTATCTCAGGAGTGGGGTTTCCTGAGAGAGAGTGCTGGAGGGTTAGACTGGCACAGAGCAGATGGGCAGATGTCTTCCTCCTTTTCACCCGTGCCCTACCAGGAGTCTTAAAACTGGATTTCAGCGTAATTCAGTAGGGCTCACTCTCTGTCTGGGGAGGAAGCAGGGGAAGCCAACAGCCAGGTATAGAGAGTCTCAGGGTCATTGCTAAGTTCTACTGTTTATTGTGGAGGGACTTTCCCAGGAACTTAGATAAACCCATGGGACCACCATTGTGATCCATTTCTCTCCTTGTCTCCTCCTGTCTGATGACCCTAGGACTTGAACCTGTAAATGTTCCCATCTAGACCCTGCATTGCTGACTCTGATGGATAAATTATTATATAACATTCATGCTTCACTCTGATGTGATAATGCCAAGTCACCTAGAACGTCCTATGACTGTTAATCTGGTACCTGGGGGAAAAAATGAGTTCTTAAGGGGAGACAGAGCCCTCTCTTTAAATGAACATGGGAATGTTCTGTGGCTGTATTAAGGCGAAATTTAAATGTGCTGCCAGGCTCATATCAGAGGCAATAATAACAATAGCCCCGCATCTGGTGTCCAGTTTTCACAGTGTGCTTCCTCTTATTTGGGGAAACGGTGAGAAATGCGTAATTGCTTTGGGTTAAAAAGAAAAAGACTTTTCCGTCTTCAAGTCCAGAGAAGCGTTTACCCTATTTACTTCTAAAGCTTCTAAGGGCATTTTTGTGGGTCATTTGGTTTTCAGTCCCATTTCCATGGGGTATGAAGTGCAGCTGCTGTTTGCTTTATTAAAGTAGCAATCCCTCCTTCGCCAGGAAGAGCTCCCAGCACGTTACACCGTCTCTGACACCTTTCCATTGCCAGTGTCATTAAATGAGTAAGTGTTACACGTTTTCTCTTAGGAGAGTAGCTTTACCCTCCCCTTCCTCCCCTTCTACTCAACCTGGTGACTCATCTCTCCGATTGCAAAGAGCAAGACACGCCACTCCACCTTCAACGCCAAAGCGGGGATCTGCTGGGGCTCAATTTGCCATTTAAGGAAAACCCCCAAAGGCTACAGGCGACCTGCTGATCAGGAAAGAATTTCGCTCTTGTCAAGTGCATCCTTCTCCATGACCACTAACTTTGTGTTTTTTTTCTTTGTTGTTCTGTTTCCTATTTTGCCAGGAAGTATTTCCATAGTTGCTGAGAATCAAAGCACAAAAGAAATCCCTACCTATGTAAATGTTTGACTGGAGGACGCCAGTAAAAACAAAAACAAACAAATAAAATAAAAACAATCAAAATCTAAACAAACAAACAAACAAACACTCACTGCATCGGGACTTTTTAATTCTTCAGACACAGACAACAAGGGTTTTTAGCTTTAAGCCTGTGCATGTGGACAGTACCTTGAGAACATGCTTGGAGGGGCAGTGTACAGGTGCTCTATTTTAATGGAAAAAACACTCCCCTCCCCCTTTCTTCTCTCTCTCCTTTTTCTGATTGGTTGTGTTTGTAGAAAATTCCTAACATATATAGGCCAAGGAAATCTGCATGTATTTTTGGAAATATTCTTGGCTCTAGACTTAACAGCTATTTTAGCTCTACAGGCTGATGGGTGGATTAGCTTCCCCAGCCCTTTTCACAAGACACAAAGACATGCACAGGAGTTTGAAACCCTGGGCTGTTTCTCTGTTCCACTTTACTTGTTGCCATTTTCCCCTTCTAAGTTATCTTCGGGAGCTCTGTTGGCCGGCAGGGGCCACAGGTTGCCTTCTCCATTCTGTACGGCCACAGGGACAAAGAAGCAAGTTCAAGTTCCATGGATGCAGGCAGAATAGGGAAAGAAGGAAGGCAGTCGGGCAGGAGTGTCAAAAGTGGACCTGTGTTTCCTGTTCCCCCCTTCCCATCACGACAGCTTCCCCTTGTAGCTTTTCCTACTCCTGCCCTGTGTAGAAAACAGAATCCCAGTTACCCGCATTCTTACCTTCCCATTTGTTTGCTCTCCACGTGTGGTCGTGATCTGTCAATGTCTTTGTGTCTCTTCCTTCCAGTCCCCAAGTTATCCTTCAACTGCTCCTGCCTTTTCTTCCCAAACATGTTGCTAGATTCTGGCCATTCATCCTGATGTTCTTTAAATACTAGCCTCGCCTCTGGCAACCCTGCCTCCACCACCCAAAGCTAATGATCTCTCTGTCAACTTTGCACACGCCCATGCATGCAGCCTACATACACACTGACCAAGCAGCATCCTGCCCTGCAGGGTTTAGCTTCATGTATTTTTTTTTTTTTTTTTGTATCCTCCTGTAGACCTGCCTCTTCCAAATATCCTTGCCTTTCCCCCCTGGAAACATATAATGTGTGTGAAAGAGTTGAGATATGCAAAGCAATTCAAACCTGGCCCATGTACCTTAGAAAAGAAAGCATACAGATGAATAGTGGTTTTGTCACACCTTAACAAAAATCTCCTGCAGTCAGATTCCAGAAGATTCTTGTGAGAAATGTTTTGAACGTGTTACTATGTGGCAGGGCAATTTCCTCCTGTGATGGTTGCTATTACCCAGTATTTCCCCTCTCACAGTAGAGTGAAAATATTTGTAAAATGAAACCAATGTTAAGCAGAAGAAGAAGCAGGTTAATGGATTTGATGTTTGAGTGTCAAAAAGTCTTGAGATTATACGGAGGTCTTGTCTTATATTAGGATGGGATTGTGATTATTGTAAGATGACCCTAGACTTCTTGCATGTGTGCTCTCTGATCTCTGAGCATAGTATCAGCAAAGGAAAATTTAATAAGCATAAAGGGGAGGAGTTATCAGACTCAAGCAGGTGGGCTCAAAGCATGAAGAAATCCCAGTTCTCCCAGGGCCATCATGAAAGAAGGTCCAGAGAAAGAGGGAAACAAAAGTATGTGAAGCAGGAGCCCTTGGAGTATTACGGATTGGATAAAGCCCTCTCTAAAATGTAGGAGAAAGTGGTTTCCAAAGACCTCAGAGTGTAGCCTCCTACTTGGCCATGTCCCCAGGCCAGCGTCAGGGTATCGCAGGGCCCTGGGGACAATGGGGGTGCCCTAAAGATCCTGACAACCACTGCCCTTGTGTAGCTCAAGTAGGGGAAGAGTGGCAACACTTCAGTCAGAAGTTAATCAAGCAGAAGATTTTATGGCTGGAGATGCTCGGTATGAATCTGGGAGACGGATTCTGCCTAAGGCAGCCGTCTATTTGTAGAACTCAAATGATCCTCAACCTGCCAGGCTTCCTATCCCATGGGAAACATCCTCATTGAATCTCTTCAGTTGGAGCCTCCCAAATTGTATCTGGAAAACAGAGTGTTTGGAAACCAAAAGAGGCTCATTCACGACAGTACAGGGAGTCCTCGGAGTTGCAGTTCAATAATTTTCATTGTTAAACTATGAAAAAGGGAATAACACTCAATCTAGCACAGTGCCTTGCCTAGAGTAGGTATTAAGAAAGTTACTTGTTGAAAGAAGAAATGAATGAATACATGAGAAGACATAGCGAAGAAGGGCTTCTAAGTCCTGACCTAAAATAGAGGTGGACATGAGATGCCTGGCGTTTTGGAAGGTGATCAGAGATGGCTGGTTCTAGATTCAGCATCTCCAGGGTCCTCATGTGCCTCTCCTCAGAGCTCCCTCCCACCTGTAGGAGACTAGTGAGGCCAAGTACTGCTCAGAGGGGACCTTATTATTCTTATGATCTAGCTCGTTTCTCAAAGCATGGTACCCAGACCAGCAGTATCAGCATCACCTCGGACTTGTTAGAAACTTGTTAGATTTTGGGTCCCACTGACCCCAGACCTACTGAATTAGAAACTCCAGGGTTGGGGCCCAGCAATCTGTTTTTACAAGCTCCTCGGGTGATTGTGAAATACACTACAGTTTGAGAACCACTGTACTAGGCCATGCCAGCTCAATCCCAAAGAGAAGGTAGTAATGAGGAGCTGCCAATGGGAGGGACCCAAGTGCCTACCTACTCAACAACAGCAGGTGCAGACACAATGAGGAGTTTGGTAGGCTTGAGGCCAGAGGAATGGGTGGGGAGGGATGGATGGGGAAGGTAAGATTCAGGGCAAGCTACAAATCTGCTATTGCAATGTTTTCCAAAATCCCAGAAGGCAAACCGCGTGCTCTACCCTGAACGACCCAACCAACGTTTTCTCCTTTGCCTTATTTTTGATTGGATTCACTGTCCAAAATGCAGAGGTTTGCTTTGCTTTTTTTCAGAAGTTCCAAACAGCAACTTTGAGAGGAATGGGGGTGCTTGGCAGCTGTGTTTTCCAGGATTCCAATTGAGCATTGAAATTCCCCCATTTGCCAACTTATTTTTATAGGAAGCCAATTTAAAAAAAAAAAAAAAAAAAAAGTTTTCTTATAGTATTGAACTACTTCTAATTTTAAAATGACTTTTTTGATGTATTTTTTGTTAAATACTATGTAGTGTAATGTATAATTGCTCTTGTTTATTGCTTTTACAGTCATATTTATTAAACAGATAATGTCTCTGAAGTCTATGCCTCAAGGTGTTTATTTTATTCCAAACTTCGGTGTTCAGTCCAGATATAGAAGCGATGCATCTATAGGGTTTCATAAAGACTAATTGCATGAGAATTTAGTAAACGCTACAGGTTTGAGGGGTTTGGTTTTTGGGGAGTTTTGGGTTTTTTGTTATCTACTACCTAAATTCTAACCTGCATTTCAGGTGACTGTACAATATCTGTTGCTTTACTGTTACTTTATTCTATAATATTTAAAAAAATCACTCCAAGCTGGTTACATTGGAATGAGTAACATTCTCACTATTGTTCATTCAAAATGAGAAATTATTGATATGGAACAAACGCATTCAAATTTGTTCAGAAACTTGTAGTTACTGAAGGACCAAACCTGCATGTAATGAACTGAAACTTGGGGAGTGGAAAGAGCTCAAATGCTAGAGTGATAATGGCTTTGATACTGGAATCAGGACAGTGGAGTTTTCCTTCCAGCTCTACCAGCTGTGTGACCTTGAGCAAAGCTTTAGTGCCCTCATGCATACAATTTGAAGGAAAAGGACACCTTCCAGCTCTGGTATTCTGAGTGGGTGAGTCATTCCCAAGAGTCCCAAATAGCTGATTTAAACTTGGTGGAAAATAAAGAGGTGGACTGGTTCCAAATCCTTTTGGCCTTGTGGTATCTTTTCTTGGTCAACATTTTGTCCTTGAATTTGGCTGAAACATTCGTGCAGGCACAAAACCCTCCTTAGCCTTTTCAAAGACCTGCCAGGCTTGGAATGGCATTGCCTCATTAGGACGGTCTCAGCACGCAATTGGAATTTCTGTTGTTTTTTAGGTGGCCTTTCACCTTTCCTTTCCCACAGACTAAGTCTTCCTTCCAACCCATCGTTATTTTCCAGGCCAGAGCCTATACTGCTTTTCTCCATCAAGAGCAGCTTATCTCCTGTGTCACTGACGGTACAGGCAGTCAAACAAAAGTCATTCCTAGGGATTTCAGACAGAGGGGATTTAATTCAGGCAATTTGTTGCTTGAGTAACTTTGTTGCTTGAAGAGCCAAGATGCCAAATAGGGGAAGGTGAAGTGACTCCAAGATGAGCAGCAAGAGGAAGGCTCTATCTTCCCTGGGCTGGAAGGACAAAGGGATCCCTAGAGCCCAGGACCCAGGACCACCAGATGGAAGCTGAAGTCAGGGAGGATGTTTCTGGCAGAAGCTGGAGCCACAGAGGAGACATGGCCATTGCCAGCAGTGCTGCCCAAGCAGAGAAGAGGGGGAAGGGAAACTTGCTCCAGGCCTCCCATCTCCAGCCAATGTTTCCCAGCCCAAGACAGTGGGCAGTGGAGCCTGGGAAATGTAGTTTTCTGAATTACTAAGTAGAACAAGGAGGAGGGGGAGAGGAGTGGGAAGTGGACTTGAGAACACAGACGGGTGACTGGCACAGCACCTCTCTCAAGTTCTGCCCACATCAAGCCCAACAAATCTCCTTCAACCCAAAGGCACTTATTAAATAGTCGGCGTTCCTTTCTTGGTGCCATTCTTTCACGTATCCCCCTTTAAACAACGCATATTTAAAATGGGGCATTAAATGTAAAATAGATAGCTAGTGGGAAGCAGCCGCATAGCACAGGGAGATCAGCTCGGTGCTTTGTGACTACCCAGAGGGGTGGGATAGGGAGGGTGGGAGGGAGGGAGACGCAAGAGGGAGGAGATATGGGGACATATGTATATGTATAGCTGATTCACTTTGTTATAAAGCAGAAACTAACACACCATTGTAAAGCAATTATACTCCAATAAAGATGTTAAAAAATAAATAAAATGTGGCATTATGTTTACGTATGTCCTTTTACACCTTTCTCACCAAATTCTATGCTCTTCTATTTTTCATTTCACTCCTTCAGCCTCCAGCTGACAGCACTGGACATCACCATTAGGAGGCACTAGATAAATGTTTGCTGAAACTCAGCCCTTTTCAGTTTAGTGTGATTTTCAATTTAGTGTGGTGAGCAAGTCCACTTCATTTAGCAAAGACCTCTGAGGTGGCCTCTTGGTCCAACTCCCCTTACCTAGCTAGCACCTCTAATTACATGTTCAGTTGGTCGTTTGTCAAGAATCAGCATGTCCTTGCCCTTCCTCTCTGTTGCCACTCAAGCTGCTGTATTCAGGGAGCTATTCTTAGATATTAATTTAAGTGAAATAATTGCAGTTAAAACTGGCTAGCATGAGAAACAAAGGCCTAAGTTTGGTTTCTGAATCATGATGTAATTTGTTTTCCTATTTCTTAGAGGTTAAGAGTATTTTGAAAATGCATGTTAGGCTCACACTTTCAGAATGGGGGAATCCCAAATTAATTCCAGATGGAAATATATAAAGAAATAACTGTTATAGTTTCCATGTTAAATACATGAGAAGGGATCTTTGGTTTATAAAATACAAATAATTATTAATCCATATGTGGTACAAACATTTTAGGTGATGATAATACAACGGTGAACAAGACTGATATCTGCCTTCATGGGCATATATTCTAATAGGGACAAATAATAAAATTTAAGATAACATATACAATGGTATCCTACTTAAATAAATATTTTAGGATATTTACAGGTTAAAAAAAAAAAAAAAGACATAACAGGGAGCAGAGTAACTGGGAACGGGAGAGGGGAGAGTTGGTCCCTGGCTTCTCTGAGATCTGAAAATGTTACCGAACCAAACTTGGGTCCACTTGCCCGCGTGCAGTAAAGCTAATCTACTGACACCAGCTTGTGAAGGAAGGTGCAGTGTTTATTGCAGGGCTCTAAGCAAGGAGTCCAGGCAGCTAGTGCCTAAAAGGCCTGAACTCCCTGAAGGCTTTCAGGTAAATGTTTTTAAAAACAGGGTGAGGGAGGGCGGTTGTGGGGTATGTGATCAGCTCGTGGACATTCTTCTGATTGGTTGGTGGTGAGGTAATCGGGAGTCAACATCATCAACTTTCTGGTTGATGGGTCTGGGGTCTACGTGCTTGTGGGCAGCATACAGTTAAATTCTTCCACCTGGTGGAGGTTTCATTATCTTCAAAACAGCTCAAAGAACGTGGCTCAGAATGTCTATAGCCCTTGAGAAGGCACTAAAAGTCCTTGACTTTGTTTAATGGCTGAACTGTTACTATTTTGTCTTGCTTCACAGTTTCCCTTTCTTTCTGCATTTTCTCACGTCTCTGATTAAACTTATTCTTTGACTAAAGTTTTTCTACACACAAAGGCAAGTAGAAGACATGGGAAGAGGGGGGTCTATTCTGGGAAAGCCCCATAGGGTCCTGCTGGGTTGCAAAAGCTGAAAAGGAGCCAGCCATTCAGAGACATATACACTGTTCAGTGGTTAAGAAATACACAAATAAAATACTTATCTTGAAGAGGACCTGACATTTTCTTGTGAAAGTGAACCCTGACTACTTACAGCTTGTGGTTATTTTAAAGGGGTAGAAGGAGTGATCTGAAATATGGCAGAAGGTTGTGCTACTAAACGGATGGTGTGGCTCTTAACACAGAGGCAAATGGAGATCACTGGTGGAGGTTTGCGTGGTGTGTGTGTGTGTGTGTGTGTGTGTGTGTGTGCGTGTTCTGTGTATTTTTACACAGCTAAATTCATTTGGGTATAGTTTTCTGTGTTCACCTAATGTTTCTCATTGGCAAAATCACACATAAGCAAACACAAAATTTGCATTATCCTGAAATCTTTTCCTAATATATCAATCACATTAGAAAAAATATTTACATCTTCAAAAAAAGTTTTATAGCAGAACTGACAGTAATTCAAATGTTAGTTTAAAAGTAGTTTGAGGGCTTCCCCGGTGGCGCAGTGGTTGAGAGTCCGCCTGCCGATGCAGGGGACATGGGTTCGTTCCCCAGTCCGGGAAGATCCCACATGCCGCGGAGCGGCTGGGCCCGTGAGCCCAAGTAGTTTGGATATACTGGTAGAAGAAAGAAGTCTCACTTGATAGCAGAGATAAAAGATAAGAAAATAGTACCAATCCTCCCCTTCCTCACCATCATGATTAGCCTGAGGACTTCTGCAGTGGAGACTGGCAGCCACCTCACTCTACAAACCTTAGAGCATCATTCAATTTCCATCAACCACAACAAATGACATTTAGAAATACGACTTTGGCCCAAAGAATGTTCAACTGTGGCCAAAACTCTTTGTTAAAGAAGATGACAGTATGAAAGGTATTTATAAGGTATTCCATGAAAAGTGAACCAGTAAAGAAAGCTTTAAAATATTTAAAATAAGCTTAAGTTATCTAGATAATGAAGCCACTCTATGAACAATACTAAGATATTTCAATAGATGCATGTATAGATATCTTGATAAAAGCTTCTTGCCAATGTAAACATTGAAAAGAATTCAGTAAACAGTATTTATAAATTTATTAATAAATCATAATATATATTTATCTATATGATAAAATAGAATGCTTCCAGTAAAACTATTTTTCTAAGGAATATTTAATGGCCTGAGAAAAGTCTCATGTGATGCCAAGAGAAAGCAGAATTTAAGACTTCACATGGTATGAAAATAATTCGTACAGAAAATAAATAGGGACAGACTGAGAGATTAAAATATAGTAACACTGGTTATTTCTAGCTTGTAAAATGTCAGGTTTTTAAAAATTCTCATATCTTTGGATATTTTCTATATTTTTTCTAAAATGAACATATATTACTTATATGGTCAGAAAAAATGCTATTTTAAATAAAACTTACAAGAAATATGGAGTAAATCTAAAATATATTTGTATATTATGCTAATTATATAATTATGAATAGTTCTATGTTTAATATAATATGTAAAGTTCATAGAAAAGTTCAAAATTGTTGATGGTATATACTTAAATATCTTTAGTAAATTAAAGATAGCTTTTCTAGAGCAAGACAATTTTCATCTCATTTTTATCAATTTATATTTATATTGAGATGAAAACATTTTGCTATTATGGTACCTTCAATTTAATTCACGAAATTTCAAATGTTTAAAA